AGCGGTGGTGAAAGCAATGCTGGTGCCTCGAAGTGGCAGCTACAGAACTATCCCGCAGGGTTAAAAGGGAACGTTTTTTATAAAGAAAATTACTTTTCTGTACTGGTCCTGCAATACGGCATCCTCAGTTGAATTAATCCCTCCAGTGCGCTTGCAAATCTAGAAGAGACTATTCCCATTGTTTTGCCCTACTGCTTGCTCCATCAAGCTCAACTCTGGAATTCTGGGGGCAAGATGATCTCTTCTGCTCCTGGCTCTTCTGCTCCAGTTCCTGCAGCAGCTGAGCCATCTCCTGGCTGAGTTTCTCCATATGCTGCTGCATGCAGTCATGTGTAGGTTCATCCAGCTCTTGACTGACCACATACACGTTGAGGATGAGCCCTTGCAGAACCCAGACAAGGAGGTTTGTGACAGCTGTGGCCTCGGGGAGAGAGAAAGAATGCAGTGGGGCTGGGATTGAGGGAGGGAGCTGAAGGCAGGGGGAGCGGGGCCGGGATCCTGTGAGAGACTGATCTGAAATCAGACTCCACTGTCCATTGTCTCAAAGATTGGTTTGAGAAGCCGAGATGGAATTCCACTTATCTTTTGTCTCAGAGATGGGTGGGAGGAATTACGATACTCGAGTCCAATATCCGTTGACTGGGAGAAGGATGTGAGGAGCTGAACTGGGACTCCACCGTCCATTGCCTGAGGGATGAGCGGGCAAGAACTGAGGTAAGAGTCTTCGGTCCATGATCTCAGGGACTGGTGTGAGGAATTGCTGCCTATTATCCCAAGAATTGCTGCAGACACGTGCAGTTGAAGAGCTGGCTGCAAGACCAGGGAAACTGGTCCACCAGGAATGTGTAATATGTGACATTAAGAACACAGGTACTCCCCCCAAATCATTATAAAAGGGGCAAAAGGTAATCACAAAAAGCAGCCATTGCCATGAGGAAGATTCTAGGAGGACACCTCCGTGAGGACACTCTCCACCGATGACTACTATGGACCCTGAGGGACACCCTCCATGAGACATTACCATCAGGGCAAGTCCCTCAGGACACCTCCAAGGGCACCTTCAAGGGTACGACCCCAGAAGGACTCCTCCATGAGGACACCCACCTCCAACGACTACCATGGTCTTTTGGGGACACTCTGCTCTAATACCAACTATGAACCCTGAAGAACTCCCACCACTGATGACGATGACGAAAGATCCCCGGGACACCACTGGATTCACAGTAGTGACTCTCTCTCCATCCCAAATCCTTGCTTCATGTTCTACCTTTTTTCCAATCTGTCCTATCGCTATCCCTTTTATTGCAATAATTTCCATTTTTTTATAATAACTGTCTTTTTCTAATAAACTTACTGGTCGATTACAGTACTTGACTTTGTTTGCATCTTAATTTCACGAACTGAAACAGGGTCCGGCACTGGGGTTTTCTCTAATTGGACCCTGACAGAGCCACAGGGAGCTGGGGACAGGCAGGAGAGGGGACGAGGCAGCTGGGAGGCAGCAAGGCCTGTGCCCAGGCCCGGTGGCAGCAGCAGCGTGCCCTGCGCAAGGCGCTCGCAGCCAGGGCCTCG